TCTACAAGGACTCCAGCGCGGTGCCTGAGTACGCACAACCGGAGAGGAGCTGTGCAACAGCCACGGACTCTGGATGCAGCTGACCAAGGAGCAACTGGCAGAGCACCTGGGAGACTGCGGGCGGGCTGGAGGAAGGCTGGTTGCTAGTGTGCCGCCCACCTCGTGCCCATCGACACTCCCGACCACCTCCAGCCACAACAGCAACTCTTCGGCCGGTGCTCAAATGGGAGCAAGTAGTGGACCTGAGGTTCACAAACTGCCTTGGTTCCAAACCTCAGGGGTGGAGGCTTAAACCAAAGCACTACAAAGGCTGCTCTATGTGCTTCCAACATGGACCTATGAGTGCGCTGAGGACCTGATCCACTTCTTGTATGACCACCTGGGCAGAGGATGAGAATCTTGGTAGCGTGAAGCAGTATGTGGAAAGCATAGACGTTTCCTCCTACACGGAGGAGTTCAGTGTTTCTTGTCTGACAGATAGCAATGCAGACACCTACTGGGAGAGTGACGGGTCCCAGTGCCAGCACTGGGTGCGGCTTATCATGAAGAAAGGCACCATTGTCAAGAAGCTACTGCTCACAGTGGATACCAAAGATGACAATTTTATGCCTAAGCGTGTGGTGGTCTATGGGGTGAAGGGGACAACCTGAAGAAGCTGAGTGATGTAAACATTGATGAGACCCCGATTGGAGATGTCTGTGTCCTGGAGGACATGACCGTCTACCTCCCAATCATTGAAATCGGCATGGTTGAGTGCCGAGATGATGGGATTGACGTTTGTCTTCGAGGGGTCAAGATCAAGTCATCTAGGCAGCGAGAACTGGGACTGAATGCAGACCTGTTCCAACCGACCAGTCTGATGCGATATCCATGCCTGGAAGGCACTGACCCTGAAGTACTGTATCGCAGAGCTGTTCTCCTGCAGAGATTCATAAAGATCCTGGATAGTGTCCTGCACTACCTGGTACCTGCCTGGGACCACACTCCGGGCACCTTCAATGAGATTAAGCAAGTGAAGCAGTTCCTACTGCTGTCACGTCAGCGGCCCAGCCTGGTAGCCCAGTGCCTTCGTGACCCAGAAATCAGCAAGCCCAGCTTCATGCCACGCCTGTCCATTAACCGACGTCTTGCCATGCAGCACTGTGCCTGCCCCTCAAAAAACCCTGTCGGCAAGAATGCAGTCTTTACCCAGGTTTACGAAGGCCTCAAGCCTTCCGACAAGTTCCAGAAACCCCTAGACTACAGGTGGCCCATGCGCTACGACCAGTGGTGGGAATGTAAATTCATTGCCGAAGGCATCGTTGACCAAGGAGGTGGTTTCCGGGACAGCCTAGCCCACATGTCAGAAGAGCTGTGCCCCAGCTCGGCAGACATTCCTGTGCCTCTTCCTTTCTTTGTGCACACAGCCAATCAGGGGAATGGTACTGGTGAGGCTTGGGACACGTATGTGTCCAACCCCTCCTGTCAAGACTTTGCAAAGTATGAGTGGATCGGACAGCTGATGGGGCTGCCCTTCGGGGTAAGGAGTTCCTGGTCTTGGCTCTGCCTGGCTTTGTCTGGAAGCAGCTCTCCGGTGAGGAGGTGAGCTGGAACAAGGTCTTCCCCACCGTGGATTCTGTACTGGTGAAGCTGCTGGAAGTGATGGAAGGAATGGATAAGGAGACGTTCGAGTTCAAGTTTGGCAAAGAGCTAACCTTCACCACAGTACTGAGTGACCAGCAGGCGGTGGAGCTGATCCCTGGGGGCTCGGGCATTGTGGTGGGATATGAGGACCGTTTGCGTTTCATGCAGCTGGTACAGAAGACACGGCTTGAGGAGAGCAAGGTGGTAGCCACGCAGGCTGGTCTGCTGAAGGTGGTGCCACAGGCCGTGCTGGACTTGCTGACCTGGCAGGAGCTGGAAAAGAAGGTGCGCGGTGACCCTGGGGTCACTGTGGATGCTCTGCGCAAGCTCACCCGGTTCAAAGACTTCGAGCAGTCTGACACGAGGGTGCAGTATTTCTGGGAGGCACTGAACAACTTCACCAATGAGGACCGGAGCCGCTTCTTGCGCTTTGTCACAGGCTGGAACAGTCTGCCAGCGTGGATCTACATCTACCCAGACAAGCTGGGGTATGAAA